AGGAACTTTCTTCAATTTCAAAACCGAAGTGCCAGTATTTTTTCACGTAAAGTAGCAGGAGGTCGCTACACATTTATTCCGTACTAGTCTACAACAGTAGGAATTTCTTTTCCGTTTCTCACGGACAAGCCTGGTCAGTAAAAACTCAAAAGTTTTTTCCTTTCACCACAGACGAATCAAAGTCAATCTTTTTTCGCAAGACCAGTCCCAGTCGAAATAAAATGACGCGCTTGATCGGCGTTGCAGTCCCCAACTGCTGGGTGGCTTCCGCTTTCGTTTTGCTGACCTCGTTCTCTGCTTTGCTACAGCAGCAATGCTTGGTGGCAGTTTGGGCTCTACGTCCTTCGACGCGGGCCAGGTCCCCTTTCAGCTCTCCGTCCGGTCGTCGGGCCGCGCGAGGGCGTGGACAACCGCTCTTGTCACCTCGTCACCAGCAGGACCGGCAGGCGGCGGGAAGTGCCGCGGCACAACGAGGAGAGAGCTTTTCTCCTGAGGATGTTGATCTCGAGGCTGGTGGGCGAGGCGGTACTACGGCAGGTAATCTTGCTGCTCATGGCAACGTTGTTGACCACCCACCTGCTGTTGTTGAGCGTGGAGGTCCTCCTGCGGGCACGCCAGAGCAGGGAGCACCGACCGCTTCTCGCCACGCTGGAGTACATGAAGGTGCAGATGCGGTAGGTCTGCCTGCTGGTCAAGCGGAGCTGCTAGCGCCAGCCGCGGAGGTAGTTCTAGTGAATGACGCAAGAAGAGCAAGAGACGAAGGACGAGCAGGTGCGGAAGGAGAAGGGGCGCGACGGGTGCCACAGCGACTCGCCGCTATCGAGCGGGAATTACAGCGGCTCGAACGCCACCAGCGCGATATGGAACATATGGCCGGAGGCAACCGGATGGTCCGCAACGGCGCGGCAGCTACTGCAGTTCTAAGTGCAGCCTGGGGCGCGTATCTTGGTGGCACCGCGGTCGGTGCTGGCGCGGCCGTGTCGGGCGCGTGCTCCGCGTACACGGCCTGTCATGCCTATCTTGGGCAGCAGCACCAGCGCGAAGTGCAGGCCTTCGCGCGAGAGCAGAGGGACTTGATGGAAGAGAGAGATCACTTGCGGGCGCAGCTAGCTGTACTACAAGAGGCTCGTGAACGTGATGAGCCGGAGCCCTAAATTAAGAGTAAGCTCATAAGCCCAAGGTGGCACGCATCATCCTCACAACACCGAAGTCAAGTACCTTTTCGCCATTTAAAACAAGATACATCAGGCGGGGTCGTGGGCTTCTCGTCGTGTCTTGCTTTAACCGAGGCCCGTTGAGGAGGAGCGAGGCAAACAAAAAGTCGTAAAAATTATCGACTCGCGTACAACTAAAGTTACTTTTTTTCCCACGCGGCGCACGCCGCGTGGATTTTTGGATCTTTCTTCAGATGATGAACTAAAAATTTGTATATAAGTATGTTTTCATCTTTTGCCAAGAAAAGGAAAAGCAAAGCCAAAAGTTGTCATCAAAGCAAAGCCCAGCCAAAAGTTGTGCGAGGGCGCACCAAGCACGCACGTACATCAGAACGGCAACAACCACGACGAGAACGAGAAGCGGTAAGTAGGCTATGTAGTTCTAGTTGTCTCGTCTCGAAGATGTTAGCGACTTCTGCTACAGGTGGGGAAATGGCACAAAATCACAATGTATGACTTCACCAAACAGGA